TTTTCCAATTCTTTAATCATTCTTGTGGCTTTTATGACCCGTCTCCAATTTACCAACATCCTTCTTGAACTGTGGACACCAGGACTGGATACAGTACTCCTGTAGTGATCTCTACAGTTCCAAATACAGAGATCAAATATAATCTCTCCACTCTTACTCAAGATTTTGCCTACCAAACAACTGCAGCACAAAAACAGCTTGTGATGCTTTTGTATATTATTCCATTTCTTCATAAATTAATACACTAACCACAGAGTGGTGATATTAAATTCTGAAATTGTAAACAATCCTACTACTGGCCTCCAAAATCGTTACCACAAAGATGCTTAGCTTCTTGGCATTCACCAAGCTGCTCAAAAGAAGGTGACTATTATTGTCATTTTAGACTATTTCCTGTACCCAAGAAGAAAGAGCCACTCAACCTGGAAAGTTATATTGGGGGAGATTAAAAAAAAAAAAAAAAAAAAAAAGGACCCAAGCTGCATAAACCTTCCCGATTCATTTAAAAATAATTCTGCACTGCTTGCAAGAAGCAGTGAAACATATTTTACAATGAAAAAAGACTCTACATGCTTCTAGCTCTTGCTGTCACCTGCTTTTGAGTTCAACTGCTAAATATAGTAGTCAAATCCTTTACCCTGTTTAAACACCCTCCTGTATGATAAGGGTACCTCCAAAGTAGGGCATCAGTCTGACACCCTTACACACTTGGAGAAGTAACTTACTCCATGTACCATCTCACTGGAATCACAGATGACCAACATAATTCATGTGACTGCATGAATTCTCTGGTGCCCATTTCCTTCCTGACCTTAATCAGCAAGAAAGACCAAACCAGCAGCAGAATCCAACACAATGCTCTTCCCCCAACCGTCTCACTCTACCCTACGTACAATTTTTATTGCTCATCTTCTAAACCCCCTGAGCAGGGTTATCACCATATGTGACTTATCTACCCCTTATAACAAAGTAACATGAGCCCAGTTTTTATCCTGGGTATTCTTAATCACATTATTCCAGGAAATATCAGACCTGAAAACGGTGCTTCTTCTAGTGAAGTCATATGATTGTCTCTCGTCAGTTGTACTCTGCAGTGATATGACTCTGGAAAGGGCTTTCTGTAAGTGGCACCATTTTCTGACTTGACATAAGCAAATTACAGCTTCCTAGCAGTTTGCACCCCTGCCAGGGAGAATCAGGTTTTTATGGGATTCACACTTATAGCCAGGCAGCTTAAGCATCATAAAACTTGTTCAACTCTCCAAGTGCAGGAGCAAGCCACGCAAGAGCCACCAGTTAACCTCAGAGTGCAAGTAGGGTGGCATTCAACATGATGTTACTGCACATGTAGTGTCAGGTTCCTCCATTGATGATCTGTCAGTGAGACCGACCTTGCTATGCATCTATGTAGCACCACAGCCACAACAAACAAATCTTCTTGTCAAAAGTCTTGTCTGCATAGATTCGGTATTAGATTCTTGTACAACAAGGCTTTTGATTGACAGCCTGGCCAAGGAATACTGGAAAGAATGCTGGTTTGAAGATGAAAATAGCTTTTGACTGAGGCTTTTAATCTCTCTTTACCAGCTGCTGGGCAGCATGTTACTTTCGCTTGTGATTTATTTCCTTCAGATGTCCAAATGAAAGAGGAAATGCCAAACTGCAGTGGGCTACTTTTAACTATGATTCCAAGAGAGAGGCTGTGGTTTATTATGTCAACTCTCATTCCTCCCAGGGTGAGTTATTTATTTTTACTACCAGAAAAACATGAAACCATAGGAAAAACTATAAGCTTCTTTGATGCAGCCTAAATGGAAAGGGACATGGGGTAAAAATCACCTCCAGTATTGCTCCATCCACTCTACAGCACAGAAGCTGCAAGGGAACATAACATTGAAGGGGCTAATGCAACATTAAATCTTATTTCCACTTATCCCTTTGTAAATATGGTGCAATTCCACTAATGTCAGAGGAGTTTCTCTGGATTTACACTGGTGTAAGTGAGACTAGAATTTGGCCATAAGAGCTAGATTTACACGTCTGAAACAGGTTGGCTGGATTCTCCTGTTGTTCTATCCTGCTGGAAGGTCTTGGGTCCAGGCAGGGAGCTGCTGGTTAATTACTAGTAACTCATTGGGTTGGTGTGGCTGATTAGATTCCACCCTCTATAGAAAGGGAAGTGGGAGTAGTCCTCTGACCAAGAGAGATCCCAAGGGAAGAAACACAGCCAAGCCTAGGGAGAAGTCTTAGGCTTGGCTCTTGTTTGGTAATTTTGGAAATAACTTTATATTAATAACACCAGCACGCAGGAGGGTTAGCATTTTGACTCTAGGATGAGCATGTGGTTTTTTTTAGGAGTTGTGTGGGGAGTTCACTGTGTTATACTGAAGAAAGCCAGGAAATGTATAGCTGTAGTAACAGCTCTAAAGAGAACAACTCATAGAATCATAGAAATGTAGAGCTGGTTGGGACGTAAAGAGTTAATCTAATCCTTCTTCCTTCACTGAGGCAGTCTTAAATATACATGACCATCCCTAACAGATGTTTGTCTAACCTGTTCTTAAAACCCTCCAATGATGGAGATTCCACAATCTTCCTAAGTAACCTGTCCCAGTGCTTAAATCACACCAAGAACATGGTGTGATGCTGCATTTTACATGATGTTTGCTGCTTGCCACACTTAGGGTACGTCCAGACTACCCGCTGGATCGGCAGGTAGCGATCTATCTATCGGGGATCAATATATCGCGTCTTGTCTAGACGCGATATATCGATCCCCAAACGTGCTCCCGTCGACTCCGGAACTCCACCAGGGTGAGCGGCGCTAGCGGAGTCGACGGGGGAGCCGCAGCCGTCGATCCCACGCCATGAGGACCCGAGGTAAATCGAAATAAGATATGTTGACTTCAGCTACACTATTCCCATAGCTGAAGTTGCGTATCTTACATCGACACTCCCCCCCTCCCCCCAACCCCAGTATAGACCAGGCCTTAAACCCAGTGGAGTAAGTTAAAGATGAAGTGGCAGCAAGGAAATTAATTTACAATTATGATGATTTTTTAAATTTAATTTTATAAACTCTTGTTAATCCTATAATCTGGATACCCTTTTGCTATGTAGAAAGTTTGGTGGGTACCGCTGTAAAAATGTCATCTTAGAATAGTTTCTTTTTCCTGTATGGAAATAAAATATTTATTATAAACTGCTTTCTGAGTCTTCAGAGCATACAACACGGACATAATGGCATCAAATTGGAAACAACTAAGGATTTGTAGCAGTTTCCGAACTGCTGCATTTTAGCATAGGATTATCAACAGATAAAAATTGCTGTGTATATAACATCCCCTCAGTCGTATCACTTGCTAATAAAAGTCTTTGTGGTTGGAAATATAATAATCTAAACTGTATAATAAAGTTATGTTAACGAGTGAAGGGAAAAGGTTCTCTCATAATTTTGGTCTATGTGTTGCATAAAGTCAATTTACAACTCAGTAAATCCAATCTAGTTTAAAAAAAAAAAATCGATCCCAAACATACTCTGGTCCAGGGGCACAATAACGTACAGGGAATCTCGGTATGGGAACAGTGGTCGGCTCCTGGGCTGTGCGACAATACAGACCGGAGCACATTACAGCCATGATGTTCTTAGCATCTGGGGAAAAGTACACTGAATGTCCTCTCGTACCTAAGCTTGGCAGCCCACAATTTATAACATAATATGTTCCAGCATGGGGAAGTCACACTGTAATTCACATAACATTAGTGTTGAACATTATGCTGTAGACATGGTACTATATTTTTAATATGCTCTCAGCACGGGTCCCTTATTAGCACATCTCTGTATATTTACAGTACTTGAAGTAAGCATGCAGTTATCTAAATCTGTATAGGTGTAATTTTTCATTATGCTGAACCAAGCTGATTGCAACCAGATGTAAGGAACCAGCATCTGGGGATATATTGCAAACACTACAAGTTACTTGACTGTGACATATCATGTACTAAATGCCTGCACTGCTCACCATATATGAGCTAGATTGTGGGCCTGCCACAAGCCCTATTTATGGGGTGGTGAGAAGCTACACTGTTCTAGGAGCAGCCAATGGAAAGAACTGTGCCTCAGTTCCCACTATACTCCGGCAGATAGTAATTTGCTACTGAGCTACTGCCTCCCATTATGTGATGAATCACCTGTGCTAGCACATTAAGGATGGAGTCAAAGCTCCCCCATCTACCTCCTTGGAATGAGCACACAGCTCTCATTTATCCCTGTGTGTGCTCAGAGCCATTGACACTAGACCGGAATGTAAGGGTGGGAAGCAGTCTTATTCCCTTTTACAGCCCTCTGTCCCCTCACAGTCCAGCCCATAACACTGAAACAAAAGTAAAAACTCTAGGATATGGAATATACTGTAAGGAAACATCACTGTGAAACTGTAAAGATATGGATAAATGTCAACCTGTACAGATGACTCAACTTTGTGTTCATGAAGTAGTGCTACAAAAGTACTAACAATGCATTATTTGCAATTTTTTCAAAACTCAATAAATAAATCAATCAACTCTTGCTCAATTCAAGCATATTTCATTTGACTATAACTAATGAAATAAAACATGATTTAATATTTGCAGATACCTTCCCCCGCCCCAGACAGAGGCTGGGGTCCCATAGTGCTGGAAACCTGTGACACAAATTTTACATACAGTTCTCAATTCTGTCATCCTCTCTCACCTTGAGCAGTCCCTTAATTCATCCAGACTATCTGTAGAGTGAGTGGGACTGCCTGTGGAGTGAGGTAGTGCTCAAGGTAAGAAAGGGTCACAGAATCAGAGCCTTAGTGTTTAAAAGAGATGACGTCAAAAAGTTCAAGCCAGGTCTTTTCTACAAAAGTGCTGTTCCCTCCAGCTAAAACCAGGTGCATGATCCATCAGAAATAGCAATGCTAACACATAGATGAGGATAACATTGCCAAAGATGAGTGGTATTTGAACGAACTTACAGGAAGAGTGGATACTGGGAAAACTCTTTCTGCCTTCGGACACCAGATCTGGATCACCTGTGCAGTGCATTTCAGAGTTCATTACTCCATCTGGAAAGCAGCGGTAAAAGAAATCGGGACGAGGTCTACAAAAAACACCATGGACATTTGAAATATAAGAGCTGTAGTTATAAATGAACCTCAAAGTGATTATTAAATTTACTATCACATAGAGAGAGTTCACTTCCTTCTTTTTATTCTGCATGTGGTAGCAATAGATATGTTCTTTATTCCTTCCTTCCTGCCAAACTTTTGCACACATGCTGTCTGTAGGAAAACTTCCAGCAGAGTGTGCTAGCAGCAGTTGGATGGTGGCATCTCTGCATTTGGACAGGCTCATTCCTGATGGACATATATAGGCTCGATCCTGAAAGGGAATATGCAGGGCTACTCATTGCATATCCCATAACTCAGCCAACCTGCACAGCATGCTCAGTGACCAAGCAGGCTATCCAATAGAGCAATAACTACCACACATGTTCCACAGGGTTGCACAGGGCTTGTTGACTCTACTCAGTAGCACCCCTACCTGTTACTATAAGAGGGAGGAATGGCCTGCTGGTTAGACTAAAGAACTGGGATCAAAGAACTACAGAGTTCTAATCCCAACCCCGATGCTGAGGTCCACATCCTCAATGGCATTTAGGCACCTAACTCCCAGTGACTTCAATGGGAGTCAGGCACCTAGAGGACCTGGACTTGACTCCTGGGATAAGTCAATTAACTTCTCTGCTTCCATTTCCCTATGTGTAGAATGGAGCTAGTGATACTTACCCACCTCCCAGGGCTCTTGCGAGGATCAGTTAATTATGTTTGTAAAAACACTTTTAAAGTGAAAAGTGTTAAATATTATGACTGCCAGGAGAGCAGTGTTGGGGTGGGAGCAGGGTGTGTGCCAAAATATAAGCAGAGATACTCTGCATGCTGCACTCCTGAAACAATAAGAGACAGCCCTTTCAGGAGTCCATTGGTTACCGCACTCCTGGGCTTGGTAATCCTGATGGATGTTGCTACTGATGGAAGATCTCATGGACAGTAGCATGCATTACATAAAATGCAGCACCATGAATTGATTTCAATTTAGTTGTACTAGTGGGAGTTGGCAGCTAAACCCCTGCACACTGTGACTGTTCCCCGTATGTATCACCAGTGAAATGTATAGATTACAATTTACACCTTGTCTTGCTTGTCTGGATCTTCAAACTAGCCCACCTGCCACACAAACTCCAAAAGTTGACAGCAAAGAATCCTGCAACAGTCAGATGTCACAGAATGAAGATAGAACAGGAGTACTTGTGGCACCTTACAGACTAACAAATTTAGTTGAGCATAAGCTTTTGTGGGCTACAGCCCACCGAAGAAGTGGGCTGTAGCCCACGAAAGCTTATGCTCAAATAAATTTGTTAGTGTCTAAGGTGCCACAAGTACTCCTGTTCTTTTTGCAGATACAGACTAACACGGCTGCTACTCTGAAACCTGTCATAATAAAGATATGCACCATACTTTCCAGGGGTGAGGACAGGGTAACAGGAATCTCTGCTAATCCAATGTGTTCTGGAGCCTTGCTTAGTCTTTATATTAAAATGGATTATAGACAGACAATCTTAATTTGACAGTTTAAGCCATTACTTAGAACATGACAAGACTTACCTCCCCACTATTAATTTAATAGTATTTGTGCAGACTCCATTCAGAGCGAGAGCCAAGGAAACAGCTAAAAAACAAAATGAACAAAGAACAACAACAACCTAGGTAACAAGTTATAAATTCTAGCATTACAGCGTTTGATTTATGAACTGAAACTTTTCACAGATTGAAATTGGATTCTTCAGTATAGCTGAAAGGTTTTAATAACCCCATTGTTTCTTTTCTTATTTTGACTGAGAGTAAACTGCAGAACAGGGTAATAATCCTGGTCTGATTCTGTTGTGCCAAAGGAAAAAAAGGAACAATACGTTTTGCAAAAGAATAATGAAAAACATTCCTGTTTTCCAACCAGCTATAGTGCTGACATAAATAATAATAATTAATAATAAATGAGGAACTTTCTAATTAAATGTCATTCCATTATAGTATGAAAATATCCTACTTTTTATCTGTATTTAAGCAAAAGTTCACCAGTGTTCACAAAGGGCCTGATCTAACTCCCATGGAAGCCTTTTCATTGACTCCATCAGGCTCATCTATTCCTTTCTGTTTGGATTTAAACTGCTTTAATGCTGCAGTCTATGTTATAGTTACATGGTATAATGCAAGAACCATTGCATTGTATTTCTTCTTGGCAAGCCTATCAGGAAGATCTCTTATTTTTGGAGAACAGTCAAAGCAATGTTTCTTACGATTATGACACCTACATCAGGCTATTATGGAAAGAGTGGAATGGAGAGGAAGGACTCAAAGGCCAACCCCATATAGATGTGAGTAAAGCAAGAAGAAGAGGAGATCAGGCTATTATCTCGTTGTATCAATGTCTTAATTGTTGTACTCCAGTACTTCACTGGCACTTATCATTCTGTATCCACAAAATCCTTGCCTGATGGCTCTGTACATCATAAGATTTGTCTATTTTTTAAAATCAAATACTAGGTCTTTCATAGAGAAGGGGGGAAAAGGTGTTTTTCCAGTCATTTACAAAGCTGCTGGCAGAAATAAAGGAACAAATTGATACCAAGGACAGCAGTATTGTTCAACAAAGTCCCCTACCTTCTACTTTCAATATCTCTAGTCATTTGCTATGTCTTACTCTCTCCATTTTTTATGATGATTGCACATGCTCAATAGAAATTTTCTATAAGATCAAATACCTTTGACCAGTAGCATCACAGCACTGTATTTCCTTTTTAAGAGAATGGTGATAATATGTGAGAAAACATATATATGAGATTTCCTGACTTACACTGTAAAGTAATGCACATTGGAAAAAATAACCCCAACTATACATACAATATGATGGGGGCTAATTTAGCTACAACGAGTCAGGAAAAAGATCTTGGAGTCATCGTGGATAGTTCTCTGAAGATGTCCACGCAGTGTGCAGAGGCGGTCAAAAAAGCAAACAGGATGTTAGGAATCATTAAAAAAGGGATAGAGAATAAGACTGAGAATATATTGCCCTTATATAAATCAATGGTACGCCCACATCTCGAATACTGCATACAGATGTGGTCTCCTCATCTCAAAAAAGATATACTGGCACTAGAAAAGGTTCAGAAAAGGGCAACTACAATGATTAGGGGTTTGGAACGGGTCCCATATGAGGCGAGATTAAAGAGGCTAGGACTCTTCAGCTTGGAAAAGAGGAGACTAAGGGGGGATATGATAGAGGTATATAAAATCATGAGTGATGTGGAGAAAGTGGATAAGGAAAAGTTATTTACTTATTCCCATAATACAAGAACTAGGGGTCACCAAATGAAATTAATAGGCAGCAGGTTTAAAACAAATAAAAGGAAGTTCTTCTTCATGCAGCGCACAGTCAACTTGTGGAACTCCTTACTTGAGGAGGTTGTGAAGGCTAGGACTATAACAGCGTTTAAAAGAGAACTGGATAAATTCATGGTGGTTAAGTCCATTAACGGTACGGCCGTTCTTATGATTATCCACACATAAGAACATAAGAATGGCCATACTGGGTCAGACCAAAGGTCCATCTAGCCCAGTATCCTGTCTACCAACAGTGGCCAATGCCAGGTGCCCCAGAGGGAATGAACCTAACAGGTAATGATCAAGTGATCTCGCTCCTGCCATCCATCTCCACCTTCTGACAAACAGAGGCTAGGAACACCATTCCTTACCCATCCTGGCTAATAGCCATTAATGGACTTAACCTCCATGAAATTATCCACACAGCCTTCCATCTTGTGTTGCCATTTACGTCTATGCAAAGTGAGTGGAATCTGGCTATAAAATGCTACCATTGGTGTAAGTGGGTCGAGAACTAAGACCTGCATTCAGTTAACATGTATGTTAATGGCTACACAAGGGGCAAAGCAGTCGAGAATCAGAACCAGCATTTCCGTCCTCTACATTCAAACATTTTTCCACGCAGAATCAAAGAGTTCCAAAAGAAAATAACTATAGAGTAAGAGTTTCTTATTTTTTGTGGACAGAATGCAATGGGCCAGATCCTCATCTGGTGTAAATCAGCATAGCACCATCAAAGTCAGTGGATCTACACCAGCTGAAGATCATGCCCATTTTGAGTCTGATTTATCTCTTTCAATATGACCAGTCCACAAAAGGTCTGAATTTATACAAATATTGAACATTGGGCTATTTTGTAAAACATTAAAATTGTGGTGTCTCGTGTGATTGGGTGCCTTTTATTGAGGATTTTTTTATTATTATTATTATCTGGGCATTGTAGGACTAATGGTAATGGCAGTCCAAAATGGGGGGGGGGGGGAGGAAGAATTAGAAAATACTAATCTAAAGTATCCCTGAGCCATGGAGGGAGAACAAACCATGGAGACAGAGACAGAGCTCCTTTAATTTTGAAATGAGAGAGACCGAATGAAAACCAGCACCATGACTATATGTTTTTATATGTATAAATGCATGTTCCCCCTGCCTACTAAATACATTTTCCATCAATAAAACATCGCTCATGATAAATTTAACAACAAACTGCCAAGTACTGGCAGCATCAAAAAACAATCTCTAAGATCTTTTCTAAAGCTGATATAACACCAGAATAGATGAACAAACTCAAAGAGAATTCCACTCTTCCAAAAATTGATTTTAGCATTAATACCCTCTATATCCAGTCTAGCACAGGCAAAAGTGTGGGCAAATATATGGGTCTTAGCCTATGATCTGAAAATCAACAAACTCAAGCTCTGCTTCACCAGCAAAAGGGGAAAGAATTCCAGTCATGGACTCTTCACTACAAATACCCTGCCACTAAGCTCCAAATGTTTGAAACCATAGTCTGTTGGCAAAAGTTCTTTGGCTGATCTCAGACTTTTGTAGGGGTGAAGCGTACAGAGACAATTTGAAGGTCCCTTATTGTAGTCAATAGGGGACCACAGAGAGCTTTAAAAATTAACACCACTGCCTTAAATTGCACTTGGAAATAAACAGGAATCCACTGTGGCATAGAGAGCAAGGAGTGACTGACACAGATTCTAGCCAATCAACATTAGAAAGATCTCAGCTGAGTTTCATTACCCGGCAAGGACCACAATCTGATTTGATCAGTAGAATGTAGAAGCAAAGCATGGAACTCACAGGCTAAGGAATGTATGTAAAAGAGATTTTTTAAAGATTTCCTTGACTTCAGTGGAACCAGCATTTCACCCACAGATTTTTCAGGGCTTGGAATACTAATTAGAACAATCACCAGTAGGAACTCTTATGCACTTGTCATCTTAAAAATCAATCTACTTTACCTAGGAAGGCTTCTTTAATTTCAGTCTTGTCTGTCCGCCGGATTATTTTCACCACAAAAATGACAGCCAGTGGCGTGAGGAATGAAATTGCCTGGGAGAGATAACAAATAATCACGTATGAGAGCATCAACTCCCTGTCATCCCCACGGATTAATAATTAGTTCCAGTTAGTGCCATTTAGACTGGATGGCTGAATAATTTTTATCGAACTCCTGACCTTGAGCAAAGTGGGACGATTTATATCTGTAACTAGAGGGCAATGAATATACTTAAAAATTGTAACCTAATTGTGGGTTATAATTGATTTGTAATTACTTGGAGCTACATTTAAAGTGTCAGTTTTGTAAATGAAAAAGAACAGTGCATAAAGATCATGACTCAGTATTGCCAACAACTACATCTCTTTATGTTTGTTTTCTAGAAGTGGATAAGCAAGTTCTTCACCTTTCTGATCTATTACGAAACACATATATCATGCACAACAATGTAATGTTGAATAGAGTAAAACATGTCAGGTTGTAGACCCTAAGCCTGCAAACAAAGAAGCAAGTAGGTAACTTTATTGAGTAAAGTTGCTCATGTGCTTAAGTGCCTGTAGCGTCTGGACTATAATTTGCAAATTAGACACTAGAAAATAGTATTGGACCTGATTCCGCCACCCTTGTATTAAGAAGAATCTCAGTACATTGGTAATCCCATTGAACCCAATTTCATCAGTGGGGCTATTGACAAAGAAAGTGATAAAGCATGTCAGACAGATGCATTATTTGTGCTGTTTTTCATGCAGGCTGGTCACAGATAAAATCCTTGGTAAACAACTCACCAGAAATATACTGTAGTTTGAAAAGAATGAACTATTTAGCATATGTAACTGGCGATGCACAAAAGCAAATGGCCAAGTTACTATTTTGCTGATCCAATGTTTTCCTCTGTACAGATTCCTAACAGAAAAATACTTCTAACTGAACTCACTGTGCTAACTTGCTTCATATATCCAAAAATGTCCTTTTCCTGGCTTCCATAAACAGGACTATGGGTCACTTTACAGTCTAGGGATTAAATACTTGGAAATGCATGGGCTCACTGCTGTGAAACACATAGTCCGACACATATCCCATCATACTGATCACAAATCTCACAAAATCCATTCATGCTGGAATTTGGCTGCCATTCTTTACTACTACCTCAGGTTAAAAAAAAACCTCATATTCAGTCCTCGATGTTTTTGTGTTGAATAGTGCTTTTTCTTCATAAGAAAACCCATTCACTTCAATAGGACCACTTGTGGAGTAAGATACTACTCAGTGTGAATACGGGTAGGAGAATCCAGCACAAACTTTTTCAAAGCTTGGGGGTGCTTAAATCTTTTCTTAATATTTTTCCAAAATCTGCAAAAGAGCATTGAGCTGACTTTACTGGAGCATTAGGGGACCTGAGCCTTATGATTCTTTCATGTACAGAACAAGTGTACTGGAGTGGAGCCAATGGCAGGTTGCTTAATCTTGGGCAAAAATGGGCGGAGGGGAACAGCTCCCAAACATCCACAACTAAACTCTAGGGGAGCAAGGTACAGCAATAGCATATTTTGTGCCATTCTTGTCTGGCAAAGGAACTTCCAGTCAAAATCTACCTTGGATGCATGTGCATGACTCCCATGGACCTTAATGACACTCCATTAAAGAAATAATTTGGCCTTTGGCTGATGGATCACGTTGCAATAAATGCTCGATTGTAAAGCCACAGTCGAGATTCTTGTGAGGAGTGTCCTTCAGCAGGGATGCTGCTCATCCAGCTCTGCTACTGCAGGGAGTTAATTATATTGTATAGCAAAGAAAAGTGAAAATAAGCTGCCTGGGATGTTTTAGAGAACCTGAAAATTAAACTGTACATTATGATACTGATTTATCTGCCATGCTGGCTTGGGCAAGCCATTTAACCTAGGCCAGATTGTGCTACCTTTATTTACACTGAGTAGTAGCTTATTCCTCGAGTAGTCCCATTTAAATAAAAGATGGAGAAATTGATGGATATTTGGGGAACTAGGACAAAGAGGATTCTGTATCCTAGTTCACCCTTCTGAAAATCGGAAATAATACCCAATGCTCAGAACCAGTATTAAGCTCTTTTAAATCATAAGAGGTAGTGAGCTATATAAAAGTGCAAAGGATTTACTGCTGTTATAATATATCCTGGTCCAGATTCTACTCTCTCTTGCATCCATGCAACTCCGTTGACTTGAGTGAATAATAAGGGTGAAATTGAGGGCAGGGGATGGCTCCCTATTTTTACATTTTATTAAGCTTGCTATCAATTTTTGTGCAGAACATTTTTCGTTCCAGTTCAATCTCCTGTGTGGATTGGTGGCGGAATACAGTGCTAAGAATGGACTTTATTTCTTGTACCCTAGGAATGCAAATATCTCCCTCTCTCTCTGAAAACGGAAATTAAACCCTGTTATCAGAGACAGTGAAAAAAATGGTTAGGGTAAAATCTAGAATTATTATTATTTTTAAAAGGAAGGATTTCCTTCCCCCCCCCCCCAAAAAAAATCTATCTTCCGTTATTGAAGAACATGTCAAACTATAGCCTCATTGACAGAGTTATAGCTTATACAGATGAAACAAGGGAGTTAGAAATCTTTTGAACAGGCAGGAGCAGCAGAAGATATCAACAAAGGATAGAAGTAAAACAGAAACTAAATCCAAAATGTTGCACAATCCATCTGGTAACACTGCAGATTTTCATATATTTTTAACAAACTGATGGATTTGTGATGGAGATTCAGAACTGTTCACATTTGCAACTCATTGTGTTGGCTGTTATTGCTCATTTGAAAACATCAATTGATAACCCCATGCTCTGGCTGTCCCGAAATGTCTGACTGCCATAAACTGGGACTGGCATCAGGGGATGGATCATATGATAATTTCCCTGTTCTGTTCATTCCCTCTCAAGCATCTGGCACCAGCCACTGTTGGAAGAACGGATAATAGGCTATATGAACAATTGGTCTGCCCCAGTATGGCCGTTCTTATGTTAGGAGGTCAATTTACTCATCAGTGTAATATATGTATAAGCTAAGCCTGACCTACAAGATATTCCCTTTTTCTTCCACAATAGATCCATGCAGGGCTCACGTCTATAATATATCATATATGTTGCAAGGGTCTAGATAATAACATCCCCGTCATGATTCAGTATCATTTTCTTTTCCTACAGTGAAATCTTCTAATATTGCTTTGATGGGTGAGACCAGTAAAAGTCTAGCACATTCATTATTCATCTTGTCAGCCTAAAGATAAATGGTAGTTGCACAAATCCCCCAGAAAAGCACTTGTTGTTGTCTCTGATTACTTCAATAAAATCCACTGGCACACAAGATTTAATTTGCATGCTGAAAAATACAGATTTTTCACTTGCGTGCTGTTTTATTGCTTGACAGCATTTTTTAATGATTTAGGGCTAGATTGTATGTTCACTCTCAGCCCTGTGTAAAGGGCAGTATAGCTGTGCAGTCCTGGAAGCAGCGTGGAGAAGGAGTCATACTCTCCCCTTATTCCAGGGGGGTAGTAATCTGCTTCTTACCCATACCAGAATACTACCCCTCCTGCACCACACCAGCTTAGCCCCACTGGCTAGCATGTTTAGTGGCTGGGACCAAGGTTCAGCAGCTCAAGCAGGGAAGCATCCACATGTGTTGGTCAGGCTATGATCCAGTGGTTCTCAACCCATTTACCATTGTGGGCTGCATATGTGGCCCACAATGCGTTATGTGGGCCACATCCAATGCTACCTGTATGGCCCTGAGGATGTCACATGGGCTGCAGCTTTGTGCTGATTGGGCCACAAGTGGCCCATGGGCTGCAGGTTGAGAACCATTGATTGAGGAAGGGGGAAGGTATATTTTTCTATAGCATAGAAACTAGAGTGAAATCCACCTAAGCAAACACCTGGTACTGAGTAAAGAACTCAATTGTCTTATTAAACTGTTAGCAGATGTGATGGACTGTGTAAATGGCTTAAGCCACACAATGCTGTGCTGAGCAGTTCCTGGGAGGGGCACTCCATCAACCTTCAGTGGGAGCTGAGGGAATTCAGCACTTTGCAGGGTCAGCCATGAATAGTACCAGGCACGCCTGTCCATGAAGAAACAGAACAGTGAAGAAGTCCCTTCCAGTTCTTCCCCTTTGCCAACATGAAGATTTAGCCTAATTTGAGTCTGGAGCTAGACTATTCATGACTTTCCTCTTGACTTTAAAATCTCCCGGTGTTCTAAACGTAGGACTTTGTAACAAATGCTAAACAATTCTTTGTTTGGAAATTCGTTTAAAAATTGGTTTATGGTGCTGGTAACAGGAAGCACCTTAAATTATGAAAGCAAATAACAGATGTGTGTGTGTGTGTGTGGTTTTTGTTTTAATTAAAGAAATAAGACCAAAACAATTAGAAATTATCTATAGTTTCTTAATTCAAGGAGTCACTCACAGGGGAGATGCCTTTTACTGAGTGGAATAGTCTAAGCCAATCCGAGCAGACGGTTACTGACTCATGGTCAGGTTACTGACTCACAGCTGCATTGGAGCTTTCAGCTGCCATACAGTATGCCAAAAACTGGCATTTGGGGTAGGTGAAAGATAAGGATCAAATATACCTCCCTTACATCCCTGCTATTTACCAACCTGTAGCGGGGCGATGACTCACCCTGCGGCGCCTCTTGCTGCTCATCCAGGGAATTAGCTCGCCAGCCTCCAGAGGGCCCTCTGCAGGCCGGTGTCTCGCCTAGCCGCTGGCCCCGGTGTCCCTCCTGGACCCCGGTGCCCCTTCTCTTGGGGTTCTGCCTCCTGCAGTACCCCACAGTCTCGCTAGGTCTCCCCTCCCCAGGGAACCCCCAACCCCCGAGCCCCACCTCACCTCAGTCTTTGGTACTGCTAGTCACCATCTAGCCCCTGCTCACTGGGGCGGACTGCAGTATAATTGCCACTCATCATCGGCAAGGAGGGTTTGGACCTACTGCCTTTCCTATATCTGGGCTGCCCCTCTGCAGGGCCCTTAGCTTGGCCTGCAGCCTGGGGCTTTGCTAGGCTGGAGCTCCCCACCTCCCTCTGCCCTTCCCCAGCACTGCTCCAGCTCAGGTACCCTTCTCAACTCCCAGGCAGCCAGGTCCTTCTCTCTCAGGTAGCTAGAGAGAGAGTGTTTCTTGGCTTCTGGCCCCAGCCCTCTTATAAGGGCCAGCTGGGCCCTCATTCCGCTAGCCACAGCTGTGGTCAGCTAACCACTCAGCTCCCCCAGACGTTTTTAATCTTTCTTACTCCGCTGCAGCCCTCTCCAGGGCTGCTTTCACCCTTCCAGGGCCGGAGCGGGGTGATCACCCCGCTACACAACCACTGGATGTCCCCTATGACATCTAATGTATTATCTTTCCTACTTCCCCCACAGCCATTTTATTTTTTTAATGTGATTTCCGCATTGCTTCAACCCCCTGAACATTCACTACTGCCCTAAGAACTCATCAACTATATGCCCAAAGCAAATTTTAGACAGACCCTCAAACACTTAGAGTGGTATCTTGCTTCATGAGCAGTCCCACTGAAATCGGTGGAGTAAGGTACTATTCTATGTGAGTAAAGTTGGCATAATTAGGCTCCTGGCTACATCTGCCCCTATCTTTTTACACTGTTCAAAATGTCTGCTTTTCTTTTAACTTTTTCACCCTACTGTGACTGGGAAATACTTAATCAGGCTTCCTCCTAACTCAGTAATAACTGTATCCTGGGTGCTTAAATATCTTGGCCTTCAGCTTCTGACTTTGTTTGCTCAGAATAGGATTATTGTCTCATAAAGAAGAAGCACACTCAACTTATCAGCTATATAACTAAATATATTGATTAACTTTGGATTTACTCTCTTGTCCAAAGACAAAAATCAAACTACATCTTTTGTTTTGCTTTCCTTCTGAATTAAAGCCACTGACCTTAAAGACAAAAGACTCACAGGGAAACCCTGACCCCACTGAAGTCAGTGGCAAACTCCTTTTGACTTCAAGGGAACCAGGATTTCACTCTAGGTGCCACACTCATCCCTGAGGTAATTCCACTCAAGCTGGTGGAGATACTACAGGAATGAATCCACTCATAGAATTATATCCACTAACTTCTAAGAATATATGCTCTGTATGTGGAGGTAACTGGTATGATGAGGGTACTCAGTGCCAGGGCCTTATTTAAATAAGTGCAGTATCTCTCCATAATAAGTGCTGAGAACTAGTATTGTAAAGGTACCTTGATATTAGTTGCTCCCACTAGCTTAAAACCATTCCTGCATGTGCATATGAACTCTGCTGGGCTTGACAGGGTGAACAATAGCACTGTCATGTCAGGTTAGTGCTAGGATGCTTTAGAGCCTGATTCTGTGATATACTGGGCACCCTCATCTCCCATTGACCCCTTGACTGTTCACGGAAAACTAACACAAAGGGGCTGTGAACATGAGCAAATCACAATGTAGAGATTTGGGGTAAAATTTTCAAAGGTGCCTACGGGCACTAAGAAAGGTAGTTAGGTGCCTAAAGATGCAGATAGATGCCTAGTGGGATTTTCAAAAGTGCCCAGACACCTAATTTAGGAGCCTATCATTCCTCACATCCATTAGTGAACTCTTGCTTAAATCTGAAACTGCACCATCAATATAGAATTCAGAATATGGTGCTTCTGCTCCTCCGGCACTGCTTTTTTCTAAGCATGCTCTGTAACATTTCTCATATTATAAATAAGTTCAGGCTTACATAGTTTTGAATCTTATCATAATCAGAACCCAAAGAACAGGCTATAGTTACACAAGTTTTCCTGTTATCAAATGAAAGTGTGTTTAGTTTACAGTTCATAAAGCTGTCAAACGATCCATTAAATCTCTGGTACTTACAAACATGAGGCGTGTAGGTATGTTGTCTGATTGTACCAAAGGATTTTTATAAAGCCAGATTTCTTCTGGCTGGATAACTCTCTGGAATGGATCCAAAAACTCTGTAAAACTAAACATAACAATAAAAGATATTTTTTCCAGTTCAAAAAGATTATGGATATTGAAATAATAGCCTTGCAGGACCCCCTCCCCCAAACTAATTAGGACACTACAGCCATTAATCATCCACACATATTGCCACTCTACACCACTGTTATAGTTATATAACCTTCATACATATACACTCAGCAAAATGGTTCTGAAAATTGCATGAACTGCATCTTTTTAAAGAGTATCTTAAACTGCATTCAAGGGGATAAATTACCATTATTTTCTGCTCAAGGTACAACACTAGAACGGGATACCAGGGGAAGAAGGTGCCATGTACAGAAAAAGAAAAACACTAATTGATAAAAGTCATAGCATCCAAATGTCAAGTCTCGGGATACAAAGTTTGGGGTTCAAAAACAGTAGTCCTATAGTCATTAGGCAGATAGAAAGATACAATGAAGAGAATTTCTCCCATTGACAGAAAGAACAGGATAATCTTTACAAAACATCTTTTCCAAAAGACACTTGTCCCCTAAAAAAGACCCAGCTGGCGAGCTCTTTAGATTTGGAATATGGACAAGTGACAGTGTCCAGCCTTTGAAAATGGAAAGAGCTATTACTGAAGTCAAGCTAGTAAGTCCCTTCTCTCTTGTTCAGATAACTTTGATTGGTTGTCTTTTAGAGTCTGAATACTTTCATTGGGTAGAAATGTCCTCCGGAACTTTGGGGACAACCTGGAGGTCTAGATTTATTTGTAGCTCTTGCAAAATGTCAGTCTAATATCATTCCTCCATGTCCTCTGACCTCTTCATCTTAAGGCAAAAGTGAGATGGTAGAAAGATGGAAAAATTCAAGAGGAAGAAAGGATGTTTATCTTACAATTGGGGAATGCAGTTGGAGGTGGGGATGTGAACCAACTAAGAAAAGCAGGATTTGGAAGGAAATGGGATAGTCTAAAATAATGTAGGGCCACATTTATAAAAGTATTTACGTGCCTAGTGGGATGTACAAAAGTGCTTAAGCTCCTAACTCCAATTGAAGTCAATGGAAGTTAGGCACCTACCTTGCTTAGTCACTTTTGTAAGTCCAATCGGGCATCTATCTGCATACCTTTGTAAATCTGGGCCATAGGAACACAAGTCTTCTGAAACAGAAAATCTCATCCAGGTCTCATAGCTCCTTCAGAAATCCACCTGAAACTTCTTGTCAATATCATGACTAAGGCTACAAGAAAGCCCGATACAATAAAGGCTGCCAAATAATATATGCAAAAAGAAAAAAAACCCACCTTAATTTGTTGGCTGAATCCTCTTTCCTCGTTTTCTTCCCCACTACCACACACATTCTTTTAAAAGCTTGAATAGAAATCTAGAATATTTACAAATTTGTGGCACACAATAGATTGAGCCCCATTTACGAGTCTGGGCCAAAAACTAAATGAAATAATGCTGATACTTTAGAAAACCAGAAACTCTCTCAAAGGGCTGCGAACACTAGGCCATTTAAATGAATCATAGCAATGATTTTAGGATTCCGCCAGTTCTATTATCAAGGTCAATAAACCCAAGAACATTAAGAAGGCTAGAAATACTAAAACTTCTCCCTTTAGGTTACTTCCTAAAAAAAGGAAATCTGGGTCTAGAAAACACAACACACTTTCTCATGCGCCTGGTGATTTTTATTTTTTTTTCCCCTGTAGGACAACTGGCAAATAAAGGACATTCTAAAAAATGCTTTTTTGTTTTGTTTTGCTTTAAAGAAAGGGATTAAATAATTGTTTCCAGCAAATTTTATTTTCTTTTGAATTTATCAGCTGTACAAAAATTGCTTCAAGTCAGATTTTAAAAGTTCTCTGTTAAGACAAAGATTTTTCAGTGGGAGATTTTCAAAGGGACAAATGACACCCGAAGGTTAAAATAAACACCACACACACTTTCCATACAATATTTTTCTTGTTGGTTAGGTAGGGCCTAATCAAGTCTGTTAAGATACCATTTCACTGTTTGAGCTAAACAGATTAAGAAGAAGAAGATTTTTGTTGTAAAAATATTTTACAGATGATTTTTCTGTGCTCAGATAACTCAAGTCTGGCTATGTTTGAGAACTTCTGACTCCTCATGTGCTACACACGTGTGCAGTCCCCTTTGAGAAATACACGCTTTGCTACTGTTGAAAAAGATCAGTTAAGAAGCTCTAATTGTGATACAACGCTGCTACTTAGTGGTTGTGAAAAAAATTCAGATAACTAGCCAGGACCCTGTCCTCCTGTCTGTTGAAAACATACGTGCGTGCGCGCACACACACACAGACCATTCATCAAAGCGGAACGAAGCTTTGGGGTCCAGTTTGACACATTGTTAAGCCAAGTATCAGGTAGATTCAGGGTATGTCTACATTTGAGCTGGAAGGTGTGATTTCCAGCTCGTGTAGAATCATAGAATCATAGAATATCAGGGTTGGAAGGGACCTCCGGAGGTCATCTAGTCCAACCCCCTGCTCAAAGCAGGACCAATTCCCAACTAAATCATCCCAGCCAGGGCTTTGTCAAGCCGGGCCTTAAAAACCTCCAAGGAAGGAGACTCCACCACCTCCCTAGGTAAAGCATTCCAGTGCTTCACCACCCTCCTAGTGAAATAGTGTTTCCTAATATCCAACCTAGACCTCCCCCACTATGTGTAGACATACCCATGCTAGCTTTGCTCGATATAGTACCTAAAAATGGTAGTGTGATCACAGCAGCACAGCCAGCGACATGGGCTAGCCACCTGAGAATGTACCCAGGGGTTTAGGACTGGATTGTTTTGGGGGCAGCTAGCCCAAGGGGCTGCACATGCCGCCATAGCTGCGGCTATTTTTAAGGGCTAGCTCAAGCAGAGGTATCATAGGTACATCTCTGCAAAATAGGACTCGCACCTCTCAGCTCCAATGAAGACCTACTCTCAGTGGTGAAAAAAACCTTTCCCACACCCACAGCTCTGTAGGAAATGCCACCCTCCCACTGGACTGCGGATCTGGCCACAGTGATGCATATGCTAGTCATGCCCACGCTGGATTACTGTAACTCATCGCATCTGAGGCTGAATGTTGAAAATATGCAAAGGTGCCAGCTTGTGCAGACTGTGGCTGCCTGCCTCCTCAGCAGGCTGCTATGAGTATATCAGGGATTATGTCTCCATCAGTGGCCAAGCTGGAGAAGTAAACTTCTCTTTACTAGGCAGAGTCAAAGACAAAATGCATGAGAGTTGGAGGTAAAGCATTCTCAGCTGAGGGTGTTCTATATGGTTTGGAAAGGATACCAGTATGGTCATGCGAGTCATTCTGGGAAAGTTGAAGGCCACCAAGAATCACAGTTCTACTATATCTAATGCACTTCACACCCCTGGTTGTAAAAGTGGAGTGGCATGGGGAGGGCAAGGATTGCTCCTGAGAGTGCTTATCCAGACATACATATATAGACAAACACGTGTGTCTGGATAGCCAAACAATGAAACAAAAGCTACTGCTAGAATTTCAGCGAATGCAGTTATTGTAATGTCACATCTTAAATGACACCTTCCCCAGTGTATCTAGTGGTCTCAGTGACTCAAGGATGTGTTTCAAGGCATTGGAAAAGACAGACATGCCAAGGAACGCCTTGAAGCATAGACACACTCTTTGATATGTCTACTCTAGGCCTTGATGCATTTTCTCAAGCTATGAAGACCAATGGATACATGTGCATTGATGCTTCAAGGCAGTGCATCTACTTGTATGAGCATTAGTGCACTTCTTGAAATGTGTCACATTAGACCACACATTTATATAAACACACATTTGGGTATATGAACAAACGACAGCACAATTAAAGGTTTGGGGGCTTTCTGCTTCTTTGCCTTCTGTCTCCTTTTTTCCTCTTAAAACCAAAAAGTATTCATTAAACATTTGTTTGAGAAGTTAAACAAATGTAAAGAAAAACAAATGTATAGTTCTCATGGGAATCAACACCCAACCACACTGCAAATACATATTAAGGCATAAAAGTTAACCCCCTTAAAAGCAATGCAAAGTACTACATATGCAAAAGAGAACAAATTATAATAAATAATGTTAGCATATTTTGGCTCTAGTCGGAATCATAACTGAATTTTCTGATTATTAAGCTTCCAAAATCTTTGTAATCTTCTAAGGACAGATTTAATTTTGTCTCAGCACTTAACCAACAATTATAATGATATATTTCGTAATAACAATGCTGTGTCCACACAGCTTATTAAATTTGTTTATGAATATCTTGCCTCCCTTTAATTGTTTCTATGAAATATGGTCAAGTACTGCATTGGAACATAATGAACAAAAAGTAAAGCAATTTGCTGAAATTGAACAAGAATCAATTAAAAAAATCATAACTGAACAAAAGGAAGCAGAAGTGGATGCTGTTGTGTGAGCAATAAAGAAAGAAACAATAGAATGAGAGGGAATGAAAAAAAAGAGACTGTACCAGAAAAAAAAAAATCACATTTTTATATAGAAAGACCAATTATTTTTCATACCAGTTCACATCACCGGTGGGCAACAGGATCCAAGAATTCACTAGCTTTGAATGCATATGTCCTATTAAACAATCATGTGGATACACTGGTTTCCTAAGTTTCCTGATAATGAATGATTTATGTTCCTTGGTCCGGTTTGATAGTGCAGTCTATTACTATTCTTAAGCTACCACAAGTTTGGATGAGTATGTATATTAGTAATAGATGGCTATAATCTTTTTTGCCAGGTCTTACACAAAGAAAAATGGATACTTTGTATCATAAATCAAAACATAGCCACATCCATCCTTGAATAAAGAAAATCTCATGTTTCCTGGACTGTAACTTAGAAAGTTTACACTTTATTCTTATGAGCGAATATAGGATTTACTTTGCTTTCCTCTTTCCCTCCCTTTCCGTACTTTTATAGGTTTGGGAAAATGTATAACATTTGTTAGTAATAGTCTAACAGACAAAAAGACAAAATGTTCAAACATAACAGCCTGAGTCA